AGGCGGGGCCGTGGCAGGCTGGGTGGGGGCAGGGGCGGGCCGGGTGGGGGCGGGGGCCAGGTGGGTGGCGGTGGTGGGCCGAGCGGGGGCGGCATGGGGGTGGGTGGCGGTGGCAGGCCGGGCGGGAGCGGGGGCCATGGGGGATAGGCGGGGAGTGGCGGGCATGGCGAGTGGGGTGGCAGGGGCGATGCCTCCGTGGCGGTCTGCGGCCCAGCTGGGGGCATGGGGGGCGGGTCAGACGTGGGGAGGGGGGAGGGGCTGGTCCCCGGCTGCGGCGCGGGGGTGCCCGGCTGTGCTGGTGCAGTTGCTGGCTGGGCCTGGCGCCGCGGCGCCGCTGCTGCTGACACATTGTTCCAATCGGCCACGCTGAGCGCCGTGCCCGTCAGGTGCTGTGCCCTGCGGCGCCAAACCGCATCCCGCAGGTCTGCTGGCCACAGGGCAAGGACGTGCCACCTGTCTGCGCCCCGCCACACATCCACCAGCCGAACTTGGGTGCAGAGCGGCGCCGCCAAGCAGGCGGGCGCCGCCCCGCCGGTGCCGCCCAGGATCTCCACGATCAGCTGCTGCAGCGCCTCTTCTGCCTTCTGGGGGGCGTCGCTGTTAAGATCCAGGCCGCTGACGATGACTTTGCGCTCCTCCAGTCTCGGTTTGAAGTCCGGTCGCCAGCTGCTCCACGCGTGGCGCTGGCTCCCTCTCTGATGCGTTGCCTGTGACCGATAGAGATGATTGTGTGCGAGGCGCACCCCGGCGGAGAGGGTGGCGGCATACATGTTTCCGGTTGCTGAGGGCCTGAGCGTTGAGCAATGAGCAATGAGCGTTGAGGCAGGAACAGAAGCCTCGCGCCTTGCCCGTAGCCGATTGTATCCCAGCTATTTAGGCTCCTGTGCTGCCTCTCTACCCTCTGTCTGACAAGGGACCGCTCCCGCTTCTCGACAGTAAGTGCCAGGCTCGCGTCGCGGACCACAGGGTGCCACCTGCCAGTCTATGTTGCAAGCTAGTTCTTGCTTTACCAGACTTTAGCCCACACAAGCGCAAGCAAGCCAGTTGCAGTCACTGCAACGGTTGCCGCCGTGCCGTCGGCGGTGGTGGCCCAAGAGACACAAGTTGCAGCCAGGTGCTGCTGCTGCCTCTCACATCGCTGTGCTGCACATGGTGCAGCAGCTGACGTACTGTCAGAGCAGGGGCAAAAGTTACGGTGAGGTCAAAAGGGGACACAAGCACAGAAGTCGGTGGTCTGCCACGCGCTGCTCGTGGGCGCTTGGGTTATTGGTTGCAGATGATGGCCAGAGCCAAATTAAGCGGTTTCGGCCGCTGCAGAGCCTGCAACCCTGCGGGAGACGGGGCAGACACTTCCCGCTTTCCAATTTTGTGTCCCGTGCTTTGCAGGGTGATAGCCCGCTCCCAAGCACCGCTGATTCATTCCTATCCCTGTACCCACCACCCAACACATCTCCCACGCCTCTTGCGACCGCCAGGGGCACCGCTGCCGCACCCAGAGGCCCAACCACACACCCATGGGCTTCCTCTCCGCCCGCCTCCGGCCCACGGGCTGCAGGCACTGCGTGTCATGCCACTCAATGACGAAATGCAGGTGAGCGGGGGGCGTGGGGTGAGGGCTGGGGAGTGCTTTGGGGCGCTGCCCCCACCGGTCATGACTGTCGGAACCAGCAGCCTCTGACCCACCGCCACCCCGCCCTCCTGCTGCAGTAGCACAGCTGGATCGATGGACATGTGGCCTGCGGGGCTGCAGTCCCCCACCGGTGAGTGGCAGTGGAGTGGGTTTCGCGCGGTCCTGCTTGGGTCTGTCGCCGCCGCTGCTGCCGCCACATGTGCCTGCTGCCGGGCCCGCCGCAACCATGCACCAGCCAGCTGGCCGCTGACCTCCACCACGCCTCCCTGCCCTTCCCGCTGCAGTCTACTACATGCTGCGTGAGTGCCAGCTCGACTTCAGCATCCAGTGCGCCAAGATGGAGGGCCCCGCCGCCTGGCGCCGCTCCTCGGTCGCCGGCAACGCGGCCAACGAGCTGCTGCAGCGCCGCGCCCTCCCGGCGCTCAGCGTCAAGCTGCCGCTCACCCCCGGCAGCGGCCTGCAGCCTGGTGACGCTGTCGTGTATGTGCGGGCGCTGCAGCCAGCGGGCGCATTTGCCAAGCCGCCCCGCCCAGCCAAGGCACCCGCAGCGGCGGCAGCATCCCTCGCGGCGCCCACCCTGGAGCGCCAGGACACGCCGCCGCAGCTGCGGGAGCAGCCCGCCAAGCGCAGCCGCGTGTGTGGCGAGGCAGCAGCACTCCCGCCAGTGCAGCTTGCCAGGGCAGCGTCGGCGCCAGCTGGCCACCTGATTGCGCCAGGCCGCTCCGCCACCCCCGTCGTCATCAGCATGCCGCCATCGGCCGCCAGCAGCCGCAGCCAGAGCGCCACCTCGACACCGCAGACGGCGCCCACTGCGGCTGACAGCCCGCTGGTGGCCCTGATGCGGAGGGTCAAGGGCATGCTGAGCCCAGCGCCGCAGCCGGCAGCCATCCGCACGTACTAAGCAACCCACCAGGATTGGGTCACGGCCGCCATACATGCACGCAGGCCGCCTATGCATACCCCCTCTTTGATTAGTTCTGGAACATCTGCACTCCCTCTGCTGTTTCTGCCGAGACAGATGTCCCGTCCTGAGCGCCTCTGAGTTTTCCTTCCGTTCCGTCTGGTACTGTTGTGCGGCGGTGCCAAGTGCTTCGCCAGCACCCGAAAGGCGCCGCCCTTCCCGTTCCTCCCCTCATCACTGCCTACCACTGCACTCCTTCTTGATCCCCTTCTTTGACCCTCCGCTTTGCGGCCTCAGCCACAACTTCCAGTTTTGTCGCACAACATACCTTCCCGCCATGGTGAGCAAACGGACGACTCCTCTCTCTCTCTCAGTTACTTCACAAATTTGTTTCAATTGCTTTCGGTCGCTGCAACAACGACAATGGTTGTGACGATACAGTAGTATGAACATCAGAGTCAGGCTGGGCGGCAAGTGTGTGCGTGAGGGCGGGGAGTGGCGGCAATTGCAGCCTGGCTGACCCGGCAGTGGCGGCAGCGTCAGCCTGGCTGGACCATTTGAGTCTTGCATGGGCAGCCCCCAGCCTTTGTGCCCGCGGTATTGGACTTCCAGGCGAAGGAAATGGACCCTTCTCTCAGCCAGAATTGTGAGGTGAGGCAAAGGGACGAACACGCTGCAGGCGGCTGCACCGCCTGCAAGCCCGGCTGCTGCCTGTAACGAACCCTCAGCACCAATTGAAGCGATCAGGGCGGCATGAGAAGGGCCCCACCCGTCCATCTCGTGACCCTCAGCGCTGCCCCTGATCACCTTCTCAGTGCCTTCCTCAAATGCATGGGCGCGCCCTCTCATGACTGAAAGACCTCTTCCTCCCACCACACTTCAATCCACCCATCACTCCACAGTTCCTTCAGCACATTCAGCCTGTCCTTGCGGCATCCAACCGCAGTGTTTCTGGCCCTCGTGGCAGCTTTGGCGATGGGCGGGCGATGAGGACTGCTGTCGCGTCCAAATTTCGCCAATCAGCTGGCGATGGCACATTTAGGATTGGCGAAATGCGGGGGAGCCACCCTTGCGCCTGGCACAGCGCAGCGGCCACATGCGGCGCCGCTGTTGCTTTGTCGGCACTTGCCTCCCTTTTGGGGGACTGGGGGCGAAGCCCCCAGCAAGCTGGCGCTTGTTTAACACTATGGAATGAAGTTCCTGAGGAAAATTGGCCATTTCTCCTCAAAATATTGGCGATGTCAGTCATGGGGGCTGGCGACGCGCTGGCGATGTCGCCCCGCCGCCTGCCCTCATTTAGCCAGCTCTGGCTGGCGATGGCCTTCGGCCAATCGCCAGCCAGAGCCGTTTTTTGGCCCGATTTCGCCAGCATTTGGCGATTTCGCCAGCTTTCAGAAACACTGTCCAACCGGCTCCCCACTCCTCTGGCACGCCCACCCTCGCTCAGAGGATGGGCTTCCTGACCACCCCCCTGTACCGGGCGGGGTGCCACCACTGCCTATCGTGCCAAGCCCTGACACAGTGCAGGTGAGCGGTGCCTGCGCCAGGGTGCCTGGTGTCGGAGGCCGCGCTCTCACGACAGGTAGGCCTCCCGGTAAGGATGTGCCCCATGATGGGCATGATGGCCCCCCACCTGGAGGTGCTCTCCAAACTGCCCAACTCACACACCTGCCCTCCTTGATTCCTTTGCTGCAGAGACAGCACTTCCACCATGGAATTCTGGCCGGCCGGGCTGCACAGCCCCTCAGGTGGGTGGTTTGTGACTGCCCGCCGCCGCTGCTGCACCGCCCGCCGCCGCCAGCCGCCGCTCGCCACGCAACCTCTGCCCAGCACTCCACCTCGGCCCCTGCTCGCTCCCTGCCACGCCACACCACATCTTTCTTACCTCCACCTCCTCCCTGCCGCTCCCTTCCCTCCTGCTGCAGTCTACTACATGCTGCGTGAGCGGCAGCTGGCCTACAACATCAACGCGGCGGTGTCTCAAGGCCCCGCCTCCTGGAGGCGCCAGTCTGTGGCTAAGGGCCGCGCCTGCGAGCTGCTGCAGCGCCGCGGCCTGCCGCCGCTCAGCGTCAGGGTGCCGCAGACGCTGTGCAACATCCGGCCCGGCGAGACCGCCGTGTATGTGCGGGCGGTGCAGCGGGCGGCGTGGCAGCAGGCCCCCAAGCCCGCCGTGCCAGCAGCACCACGCATGGCAGCAGCAGCAGCAGCTGCTGACACAGCAGCGCTTGCGCAGGCGCCCCTGCACTGCCAGGACACACCGCTGCAGCTGCTGGAGCAGCCCGCCAAGCGCAGCCGGCTGTCAACTGATGAGCACACGCCTCGGCCAGGCCACCTCATTGCCCGGAGCTCAGCTGGCATGGCCGGCTCAGCTCGCCTCGTTGCTGCCGTGCCGCGCTCCGCTGCCAGCAGCCGCAGCCAGAGCACAGCCGGCTCGCCGTGCATGGCGGGCAGCCCGCTGGGAGCGCTGTTCCGCAGGATGCGGGGCATGATGAGCAGCCCGACGCCGCAGCCTGCGGCAGTCTCTGCGTACTGATGGGAAGCAGCTATGCCCTGCTGGGCATGCCAGCGACCCGCTCACCGACAGATTCTGACCTGGCTCTTGCCTCCCATTTTGTTGCACTGCCCTCTGCTGCTCTCCGAGCTTCCCCTGCTGTGCCTCCACGCTCCAATTGTGTGAGCGCCTGTGACTGTAGCTGCCGCTATCACCTCCTCGTTTCTTCCTGCCATTTCCCCTCGCAATCCCCACTCCTTTAGCTCCACCACCTTCGTTAGCTCCGCAATCCTTTCTTGCCTGTCTGTAACCTCAAAACGCATCCTTCATGTGCCCCAATTTTGCCTCCTTCATTTGGCACCTGCACTTCACTGTCTCTGTCTCGCAACCAATTTTCTTATAAGTTCTTGCTGGCTGAAATTTTCCAATGGCTGCAACATGCCCATCTGTAAACGTCAATCCACCACAATCCCGCTGACTGAGAGAGAGGTCGGCTCTAATGTTACATGGCAGTGATGCGGCCCACACCACGCAGCACAAGCAGTGCAGCATCGGTGGCATGGCAGGAGGGGTGTTGCCCGCGTGAGCTGGGCTGGCGCCCGCCACCGTGCTCGGCTCCAGCCTCCCTCTCATGTCAAGTCCTCCTCCTCCACCTCGTCCCTGCTCGTAATCTTGCGCTTCACACGCACCTGCAGCATGGCAGGGGGGGGCGCATCGGATCGAGCCAAGGGCAGCAGCGCAAGCTGCCCAGCGCGGCTGCCTCACCACACAGCCGATACTGCACTTGCCATGCCCAGCCACCACCACTATCCGTGCATTGCCCTTGGTGCGCGGACAGGACAGAATCATCCAAACTCTCCAACAGACACCACACTACCATGCCCAACACACCAGCAGCGTGGTCTTCCAGGCATCCAGCCGCGTCAAGGAATCGTAGTCTGCTACCGCGGTGGTGAAGGCCTCCACATCACCCTCGTCCAGAGCATCAGCCAGCGCCTGCGCCACAAACCGGGCGGCAGCAGCGGCGGCGGCAGCGGCGGAGAGGTTGGGGATACGGCAGCAGGTGCGAGGATACGGCAGCAGTCGCAGGGCGAAGCCGCCGCGAGCTGGGACCACTGGCGACCCCCCATGCTGCTTCAGCCGCCCAGCGTGCCCACAACCACGCACGCACCGCCAGGAACGTGTGCTCCCTGCTGTTGTCAAAGTTTATGTCTGTGTCGCAGTAGCGCTCCAGCGCGCCTCGCACGGTGGCCACATCCGCGGAACACAGCAGGCAGATGCCAGCGTTGAGAAGGTGGCCCTTGGCGCTGCGAGGAGCGGAGCAGGGAGACAGGGGTTGGGGCAGGGCTGCTGAGCTGGGAGCACTCTTCTGGAAGCGGGCCGTGCAGGCGAGACAGATGTGGGGCACAGGCGGCAGGCCGAAACGCTTGCCGTGGCCCGCTTCCCTGCCATCCACACCGCCGCGCCGCCGCAGGCTGTCCTTGCCGTGCTTCCGCTGATCATACGTCACGTTGGTCTCCATTGTACGGTGCCCGTACCGCCCACCTGTACTTCAGCAGGTTGTTCTCCACGCAGGCCCGCGCCACATCTTCGTAGATGGCCACCGCCTGCGGGTAGCGCTCCAGCTCCGCAGCATACTGCGCAATCTGCGGCAGGGCGGCCGCGGAAGTGCGGAAGCGAAAGGGGAGGTGGCAGGCGGGTGCAGCAGGAGGAGGCCGGCGGGCGTGCGGAGCACAGCGTGCGGCCGGGCACGGAGCGGGCCCACCCGCCTGCCAGGCATCGCCCGCTGGCGCGCGCCACCCAGGTACCGGGCACTAGCAGCAACAGACGCCAGCAGCACAAGCAGAAACAGAAACAGGAGCAGCAGCCGGCATCTTCTTTTTGACAAGCCGTACCTTGAGGTTGCACTTGTTGGCCTCAGCCATGCTGTTCTCTGTGTGGAACAGGTCGGCTGCCTGCTCGTAAAACATGATGCACTCCTCCTTGTTCCCCTCCTTCTCCAGCACCTCCGCTATCTCCTGCGGCAGGCGGCAGGCGGCAGGCGGCGGCGGGCACGGCCGAGTCGGCAGGCGCGGCGAGCTGGAGCGGGTGTTGCTGGCGCTGCTCCTGCTGTTGAGCATGCAGCCCGTGCCGTGCCGGCAGAGGCTCGGCGCGCTGCGCGGCAGGCGGCGCGGCGCGCACCCTCAGCTGCCGCGCCGCCATGCCCAGGCGGCCCATGTCGGTGTAGAGCGACACAGCCTGCTGCAAGCACGACACCGCGCCTGCGGCAGGCGGGGCAGCAGAGGCATGCAGAAGCGCCATTCGGTGCTGGCTGCTGCAAGCGTGGTGAACCCTTCAGCCACGCTCCCCACGCTGCGCCCCAGCCAGCAACCTGGGCATGCACGTCCAGCGGCCAGGCTGCCCACGGGGGTGTGGCAACCGCCGCAGCGCTGGGAGGCGCCCAGCTCCAGCTGGCGCAGGCACTCACGGCGCTGGTCAGACTTGAGGAAGGCCTTGGCTGCCTCCACCCAGCTTGTCGCCGCATCGTGCCTGCTCTCAAGCTTGATGTGCACCTCTGCCAGCTTCATGAATGTCTCCCCAGCCTCGTTCCCTGCAGGCAAAGCGGTTGGCACACGGCGCCGAGGTCCTAGCAACGTCGGCGGCAGTCCTGGTGTGCAGGAGGCGAGCGCCAGTGCCAACAGAAGTGCCGGCGGCTTGCGCAAGCACGCAGTCAAGGCACTGCGCAACGGTATCCGGCTGCACAAAGGGCAGGAGGCAGGGAAGCACGGAGGCCGCTGCAGCCGCCAGCGTCGCGCCCACCCGCCGCCCGCCCGCCGCTGCCACCCACATGCTTTGGCCAGCTTGTACTGGTTGGCGGCCTTCTCATACATCTCTGCGGCCTCCTCATACTTGTTTCCGCCAAACAGGCTGAAACTCTTGAGCCGCTTGTCGGCCTTGGCCGCCCAGTCCGCCGCTTTGGCGGCGTAGTCCATGGTGAGTCCTGGGGCGATCAAATCACTCGACCCCGCCCCTGTCAGCCCGGCACGGGCGCTCTGCGGCACGGCCCCGCCCCCAAACAGCGACTGTAAGCACCCAGGTGGCTTGAAGGTGGCTTGACCGAGGAATGATCGCGGGGGGAACTGTTTTGCTCGGGTGCGAGCAAGGAGGAGCAGCGCTCTTCCTCTTTCACTTGGGAGCCAGGTCAGCGACACTCCTGCTGGTCTCTCTTGGCAGCGATCGGGCGCCAGGCCAAGCAACCTCTGCTGTGCTCAATTCGCCCGCTGTCAGGGCGCCAGACGCTTGACTGCCCTGCTGTTGGTCACTGGCAAGCAGGCCCCTGGCAGGCCAGTGCGGGTCCATGCCGCAGTAGATTGAAATTGCAGGAAGCCTCCAGCAGCCGCACCCGCGCCAGCATACAACCTCTCCCTGCGGCCCAGTAAACGCTGCCAGTAGGCCGACAGGGGCTTGCTGCGAGGCATGAATGACTTGCTAGGCACCGTGGTGGTGAGCTGGGCCGCCCCAGCAAGCGTGCACAGGCACCAGCAGGCGCCCCGCGTCCGCCGCTCAGCTTCTGCCGCCCCTGCGCCGCCTCTGCAAATCCCCTTCTGAGCTCTAGCCGGCGCAGCTGCTGGCGTGACAGCTAAGCACGTGCAAAACGGGCCTGGTGGTGTGCAGGGGGGCGCCAACGGCGCGGGGCGCGGCGACATTGAGGCGGGGATGCCGCCGCCCGCGGCAGCGCCCGCCGCCACCGCTGACTCGGGCGACAAGCACATGGACGACTTCTTCAAGGAGGTGGCGGCCATCAAGGTGCGGCGCTGTACGGGGCTGTGCTGCGGTGCTGCAGCTGCTGCTGGTGCTGCTGGTGGTGGTGGTGCTGCTGCTGCTGAGGCCCTGTGACCCTGTCCCGGCCCGCTCCCTGCAACACGCGGCGCCAGCCTGCCGTGCCGCTCAGGCTGCGTGTGGATCCGCTGGCTGCTGCCTCACGTGCTTTCAACTGCTTTGTAGCTGCTGCTGCCGCTGCCTACTGCCATCGATTGCTGCTGCTGCTGCTGCCGCTTCGCCCTGCTGCTGCCGACCGCCACCAACTGCCGCACGCCGCCGGACCCTTCCCGTGGGCTGCCTGCCGCGCAGGGCATGATGGCCGACATCCGGCGCAACCAGGGTCGGCTGCAGGAAGCGCACGAGCGCAGCAAGATGGTGACTCGCAGCGAGGAGATGAAGAAGCTGCGGGAGCAGATGCAGGTGGGCAGCCCCGGCCGCTTGTGCTGGGCCGCCCTGACCTGGCCTGCACCCCCACCCACGGCAAGGCCCGCATCCAGCCGGGTGTACTTCTGAGGCCGTCCCACCGCCCCCTGCCGGCAGCACCAGCAGCAGAAAAAACTATGCGCTGTGCTTCCCCGCAGGAGGACATCAACGCGGTCAGCAAGTCTGCAGATACCATCAAGAAGCGCCTGGCTGAGCTGGACCGAGGCAACGAGCAGGTGGGGGGCAGCCATGCGGCGCTGCCCTGCTCTGTGTTGGCTGGAAGCCGGCCACCACAGGCGGCAGGCGGGAGCCGCATGCCTGGATGGGCGCTGCTGTGCAGAGGTGCCGAGCAGTGCCCCTCCTCCTCCGCCGCCGCCGCTGCTCCCGCAGTCTCTCAAGCGCAAGGGGTGCGGCCCCGGCAGCAGCAGCGAGCGCACGCGCACCGCCATCACGGGAGCCCTCAAGAAAAAGCTGAAAGACCTGATGGGGGAGTTCCAAGACCTGCGGTGGGTGCCGTCCCCCCCGCTGGGCTGGGCTGGGCAAGCACCAACCGATGTGCTTGGGCTTGCCGCTTGCGCTGCTGCTGTGCCCCCCAAGCTGCTGCGGCGGCAGCTTGCGGCTGCATCATCCTGCCCCCGCTGCTGAGCAGCCGCCCGCCTGGCCCTGCTGCCTGCCCCTGCTGCCGCCCGCAGGTCACGCGTGCAGGCAGAGTACCGGGAAGTGGTGGAGCGGCGGATGTACACGGGTGCGGGGCTGCCTTTTGTTTTCCTTGACAAGCTGCTGCCGGTGCTGGCAGCTCCAGCTGCTGCCTCTCTCCAACCCAGACCCCGACCCTTCTCCACTGCGTGATTTCATTCACCTCTGCCGCGCCGCAGTCACGGGGCAGCATGCCGAGGAGGAGGAGATTGAGAAGATGATTGAGACGGGCGAGAGCGAGATGATCTTCCAGAAGGCCATCCTGGAGCAGGGGCGGGGGTACGTGATGGACACGCTGGCAGAGATACGGGAGCGGCGCGACGCGGGTGAGGCGGGGCGTTGGGCGTAAGGGAGGGCGGGCGTGAGAGAGGCTGGGCGTGAGGGAGGGTGGGTGTGGGGGAGGCGCTCAGGCACAGGAGCGGCGCGGCGCGGGCGAGGCCATGCAGGCTGGGAGGGCTGGGAGGCGGGGAGGCGCCCTGCAGAGCGTCGTGTGCTAGGGGGTGCGCCGCCTGCCTCCCCGCCTGCCTGCCACCCACGCCCCACGCCTGCTCCCCCGTCCTGCCTGCCCGCCTGCCCGCCCGAATGCCCGCCCGCCCACCTGCCCGCCTGCCCACCTGCTCGCCTGCCTGCCTGCCCACCTGCTCGCCTGCCTGCTCACCTGCCCGCCTGCCTGCCTGTCTGCCTGCCTGCACCGCCCCCGCCTGTGCCCGTGCAGTGATGGAGCTGGAGCGCAGCCTCATGGAGCTGCACCAGATCTTCCTGGACATGGCGGTGCTGGTGGAGGCGCAGGGGGAGATGCTGGACAACATCGAGGCACAGGTGGGGCCTGCCCCCCGCCTGGCGCAGCCCGCCTGGCGCAGCCCGTGCGCTGCATTGCAGCAGCAGTACGCTTGCCCTTGCCGCGCTGCATCCGCTGGCGAGACGTTTGCCGGTTTGGCCCGGTAGGGTGGACCTCCCTCTTGGTAGGTGGGCCTCTCCGCGAACATTCTCTTTCTTCCTTTCGCCCACCTGTTCTTTCTTTCTACCCTCGGCCATCCAGGTGGCCAAGAGCGTGGAGTATGTGCAGGCGGGCACCACGCACCTGGTGGCCGCCAAGCGGCTGCAGAAGAACACGCGCAAGTGGATGTGCGTCGCGCTCATACTGCTGCTCATCATCGCGGCGGCCATCGCCATCCCCATTGCCATCAAGCTGGCCTGAGGAGCCTGCCTGAGGGGCTGTCCTGGCCTGGGGAGCGCCAGCGGGCCCCCGAGGCGGCGGGGGCGAGGGGTTGGCAATCACGAACAGCCCCGAGGCGGTGGGGCTGTGCAGGCAATGACGGGCAGCCACGGAGCAGCCAGCCCAGCTGAATGGCCTGCACTGCTACTAGCCATTAGTTTAGGCTCTTCTCTCCCTGTGCCAGGCATGCAAAAGGGACCGCACTATTCTTGACAGCACTGCTGACCGTGCATGCTGCTGGGCCCTGGGCCTGCCGCCGTGCTGCACACACTTTGACTCACATTCTACTCCCGCTTGCTTGCCTCCTTTGTCCAACCAGCTGAACCTGCTCAACACAGCTACACTGCTGCACATGTGTTAAAGCCTGGTGTGTGTAAGACAGACAAAGCATTGCTGTTTGGGGATACTGTCCAATAGGAAGGGAAGCCTGCAGTGGAGCCTGTTCGTTTCCCTCTGTGCTTTGTTGTGGCAATGCAGGATGAGGCACCCTCAGCATCAATGCCAGCCTCCACCTCACCACCCTCCATCCATCCATTAGGCAGGCAGGGAGCTGTTTACAGCGCTGCAAAGTAGCAAACACGCCAGAGGCGCCACACTGGACGGGCGGCTACTTGGCCTGCAGGGCGGCGCTGAAACCCTCTCCAAGGTGAGGGTCAGGGGGAATCCTCTGCCGCGGCGGACGCCACTTCTGAGCCCCTTTGGAAGAGCCTACGCCCCGGCTGCCGCCGCCACCGTCCCAGCCGCTGCTGCCGCCTCCTCCTGCTCCGCCTCGGCCACCGCCCGCCCAACCAGGTCCCGGGCCGCGGGGGCCCGCCGCGGCTGGCTGCCGTCCTCGGCGTGGCTGCCGGCATGGATGCTCCTCAGCTCCCGCACATTTGCCTCAATGATGTCGCTGCAGCACACAGCACACAGCACAACAGCGGTGCAGCACGAGTTGCACGGATGGCAACGCCTTGCGCCGAACCGCGGAGAAGCCCGCCAGGCATATGCCCATCCAGGCGCTCCTCGTGTGGCGAAAATCTCAGGTGCATTGCATGCAGGAAGCTGGGGAGTTGCGCACCAGATGACCTCCAGGGGCAGGATGCTGAAGGGCTCCTCAATAGACACACCAATCTCCTCGATGCCTACAAGACGCACACACACACAGCGTGGCCAGAAGAGGCGAGGAACAGGGGTCAGCTGGCAGTGTTGTGCTGCCCAGCAGAGCCCCGGGTGGGCCGCGGCGGCTACTCATACACAGCTGTGAGCCAGCACACTCCCCCGCCAGCAGCAGCTGCTGCATGGGGCGCCTCACCCAGCAGCAGGAAGGCGATGATGCCGCACAGCGGCACCGAGGCCCAGCCGCAGTTGTCCCACAGAGAGAAGGGCAGCAGGGTGAGCCAGATCATCATGAAGCGGGAGGTGTGGCTGCACGAGAGGCAGGTACAGATGGAGACTTGTGTTTGGATGGTGGCAGTGACACCAAGGGACCAGCCTAACAGCCCGGCACGGGGCGAGGGGAAGGGAGCTAGCAGTCCTGCTCAGAGCGCCCATCGAGGTCCGGCCTCGGAGATCCGGCCGCCGCTATTCCCCATCCGCCGGAGCGGGCACCCAGCTGAGCAGCCACCACCACCCAACCGCCAGCCCACGTGGCCGCACCGTGTGTAGCTCAGCGGGATGGGGGCCCGCAGGATGCGCTCGCAGGCGCCAAGGATGTCCTGTAGGGGCAGTCGAGAGGACGGCCCAGGCATCTCGGGGCACAGCATCAGCAGAGGATCAGCAGAGGCAGGGGCAGAGAGTTGTGGCACGCAACTCCCTGCTTTGCCGCCTGCTGCTGGGTGCCACGCCTCAGCTGCAGGCCCGTGACTGGCACAGGCGGAAGCTGCCGGAAGCTGCCCGTACCTCCATGGCCGTCAGGTTCTCGTCCATGCGGTACCGCGTCCCCTCCCACCCCGCCGCAGCCAACGCAGGGGCGCCCGACGCCACCACGGCGCCGCGCGCAACCGGGAGCGGGAGGGCAGACAGGTGAGCGCTGTGCACGATCTCAGACATCACCTGCAGCCCTCGGAGGGTGCGGGGCGGGTGCAGCGGGTTGCAGTGCAGCGGCTTGGTGGGTCAAGGGGCAGGGACGGCATTCAACCAGCCCCATGCCGCTGCTGGATGCGCCAGGCACCCCCAGCCAGGCCCACCTGCAGGCAGTAGTTGGGGCGGTGCTTGGCTAGCACAACAGCCTCCACCTCATGCGCCGGCAGCACCTTGCGAAGCTCTGCCTCTGCACGAGCGCACAGCGGCACGACAGAGCGGCAAAGAAGTCGCCCGCGCTGCTGCTGCCAGAGGCACGTGTGGCAACAGTGTTTATTGGGGAGCCCACCCCGGCAGGCCAACGGCAGATCAGCACAGCACAGCGCAGCATCGGGGGAGGTGGTGGGCCCACCCATCCCGCTGGGGCGCCTGCCTCACCCAGGTCTGAATCCTCCCGCACGTGGCACATCAGGGCGCGGCTACATTCACGGGGTCAGCAGCAGCAGCAGCGCCAGCTCAGCAGCCAGAGGAGGCGCCTTGCGGCCAACGCCCCGCACGCCGCCGCCACTCATCCCACTGGCAGGCACGAGGCCCCGGCAGCAGGTGCGCTGCATGTGCCCGTACCATGCATGTGCGCAGCCGTACCATGCGGTACCATACCTGTAAGCGGCGGTCCAGCGGCACAGCATGTCCAGCAGGGGTCGGTCCGCGGCAGGGAAGCACGTCAGTGCCTGCCTGCGCGGCGGAGGCGGGCGGCGGCTGCACGTGAGCGCTCGGCGCCGGTGCACCTGCGATCCGATCAGAGGAGTCGAAGTGTGCTGCTGGGACATCGCGTCATGACCAATGCCAGACAGCCCTACCTAGTGATGTCGCGGCTCCTGTTCACCAGCATGCCCCAGGCCTTGCGGGCATCCAGCCAGCGCGCATAGCTGGCATTGGTCCTGCAGCCAGGACAAGCAGGCAGGCAGCCAGCGCGCCCAGAGCAAGCAGGTCAGGACATGCATCCCAAAGCACAGCAGGCACTCCCCGCTGCCCCGGGCAGCCTGTGTGTGTGAAGAAAGGTTGCCAGCACAGCTGCCTCCTCTGCCAGCCAGGGCGGCAGCGGCCCCGCAAGCCTCGCCTGAACACCAGCAGCAGGGAGAGGGCGAAGGAGGTGAGGCCGAAGGGCCCGTTGTTGCTCATGTGCAGCTCCGGCAGCACGTCTGGCGCCAGCCCCGTCTCCACCAGCGTGTTCCAGACCGCCACCGAGGCGCTGACGGCCAGTATGTACAGCAGCGGGGAGGCCAGTCCGCGGAAGATGCGAGACTGCAGGGCAGGGTGGGCAGCGCGGGGCAAGTCAGGGCAAGGTCTGCTGCAGCAGGAGGGCAGGGACCCCAGGAGAGCCCACCAAACCAGCACGGCGTGCGGCAAGGAGGAGCGAGCCAGTTTTGGGCGGGGGAGCATGCAGCATGTGCTGCAGGAGGAGGAATGGCCCGGGAGCGGGCCAGGCCCAATTGGGCAGCGCAGCGTGTGCTCCTGCACTCGGGCAGTCAGGGTCGGCGCACCCCGAGCAGGCCCTTGGCGTGCCGCATGTATCGTTTCGTGCTGCGGTGCTGCCGCCAGTTTTCGAAGTCGTACACCTGTGGTGCAAGGAAGAGGAGGGGACAAGTAACATGAGGGACAGCGGCACTGTCAGCGCCGTGCAGGGATGCTACCTCGACGCCAGGCGGGCGTCCGGCTCGTGCCCACCGTGCGTCGGTACTTGCGGCTGCCCTCCTTGATCGGGTCCACCTCCCGGCTGCCTGCCGCCGCGCTGCTGCTGGTCGCCCGGTCGCCCGCCGTCTGGGCGACGGCATCCACCACCGCCTGCTCAGCCACCTGCTCCAGGTCGGTGCTCTGCAGGGCGCAGGCAGATCGGCGGTGGGAGGTGGGCCGGAGGTGGGCCACCGCCCAGTGGGGAGATGCCAGCGGCTGCTGCACGGCTGGCTGGCAGCATCCGTGGTCGGGGCTTCAAGCGAGGTACACCTTAACATCCCCAGCCTCCCTCCCTGCTCCCTCCGCGGGCACCCACCCCAACAGCAAAGCTGCCGTCGCCCCGGGGCGACGCCGCGGTCTGCACCAGGCGGGCGTGGCCGCCGCTGCGGCTGGCAGAAGGGGCGTCGCTGGCTGTCATCTGCCGAGGCTTTGCCGACAGAGCCGTCCAATGCCACTCGCCGAGCCTGCTGGCAGCCCTGCTGCAGCCGCCGTGCTCGCGGTGCACAGCCTGGCGCCGAGGGAGCCGGCACCCACACGGCGGCGGGAGTGGCAAGGTGGCCGGGCAGGCGCAGCCGCGTCGTGGGGCTACATTCGCGCCTGTCAGGCCCACGGCAGCACGTATGCAGCTCATGGAGCTCTGCTGGAGCGTAGAGTGATGACAGCCGCCAAGGCCTGAGCAATGCCTGGGCGGAATGGTTCTCGCAACCAGCAAGGCGACTTCTTGGGCCTGTCTCAGGTGTGTGGCGGCGGGGGGGAAAAGGGTTGGCAAAAAAACGACTGCAAACTCAAGGAGCTCGCATAAGCAGAGGGCAATGCTGAGTTCTGGGCCTGCAAACGCTTCTGAGATCAAGAATGTGCAGTCAAGGCACCCATGCAGGATGCTCAACCATGCACAATTTGCAATTTGGCGGCGGCCCGCCCAGGCGGGGCTGCGACAGCAGGCTGACGCATGCTTGCGCCTGACTGCAGAGACCCTCTTCTCCCTCCCCATATAAATCGTGTCACTGCGCCTCTTGATGTGCACCGTTTATTCAGTTTCTTCACGTGCATAGTTGTGCTCCAGCGCGCATGGAGCTGGCGGCAGCGGCCGAGGCGCAGCGCAGCTCAGCATGATGGGTTAGGCGGACACATCCTCATTTGTTTGGCCTCGGACCTGTGCCTGGGGCTTTCCACTCCGCAATTCTCTCAATTGCGATACAGCCTGCCCTGCCACCCCAAGGAATAAACCCAGCGCATAGACGCTCTTGCTGTTGAACGCCCCTGCGACCACCGTCAGTGCCCAGGCAAGCAAGGGAGCGGGCCCGAGCCAGCAACTAGCTCTGCCTTCGGTCGGCGCGCCCCCAACCCTCGCCGTCGCCGCTGCTGGGCCATAGAGTGGCCATAAGCAGCATACCAAAACCCGACAGCAGCATCCAAGCATCCACAGCTGCTCCCACGTGGTATCACTGCCCTCTTGATGTGCCGCTGCATCCCAGCTTGCAGCATGCCGCTCCCGGGAGACCCCAGCCTCCACTTCCGCCGCCGCTTCAACCTCGCCGGCGCCGCCGCCCTGGGCAACGGCGCGTGGGTTGGCCTGGTGAGGCGCGCCGAGGCACCTGCCGTCGCAGCGCCTGGCGTGCCACCGCACACCACCCCTGGCTGTGATAGAAGCCTCCGTCTCCTGCCGCCCGCGCAGGCGACGATTTGGGTGTACTTTCTGCGCGTCACCATCACCGCCCCCGTCATGCACCTGTTCCTGGCCAGCGTGGCGGCCCTGTGCGCTGCCGACCTGTGGTGGAGCCGGCGCTGCCTGCACAGCTACAGCAGCTGGCGGGAGGTGCCCGCAGGGCTGATGCGGGTGACTGAGGCGGTGCTGGGGTCGGCCTGCCTGTGGTCCAAGGTGTGGCTGGACGAGCTGGACCCGCTGCGCGCCGGCGGCGGCCGGCTGCCGGCGCTGCGGCACGCCGCGGTGCTGCTGTGGGCCAGCGCCGCACCCACGCGCCTGCTCTACTGGTGCTTCACCATGCGTCTGTGGTGAGCGAAGTGTTGATTGCCAGCTAGCAGCTCAAGGCTGCCTGCTAGCGTGTGCGGGTGGCTCCAGCTGCTTGATGGCGATCACCAGAGGCATGGCGGTGCCTGTGCCCGCCTCCCTGACGCCCTGGGGCGCCTCCCGCCCTTGCCCCCGCAGCTGGGCGGTGCCCCTGCACATCTTCATGACGGCCGCCCTGACGCGCCGCAACCGCGAGGTCTGCACCAGCGCCTGGCTGGCCACCCCGGCGGCAGAGGGGCTCACGCACGGCGCCTTCGACCTGCTCAACGCTCTGCGGTACAGCGTGCTGGTGCCCGCCAGCCGCCCCTCGCTGGCGCCACGGGACGAGTGCGCCGTGGTGCTCAGCTACCTCCACATATGCCTGGGCCTGGTGCTGCCGGCGCTGGTCCAGGCCGCCGCCGAGGCGCGGCTGTTCCGTGAGCACCAGCACCAGCGGCAGCGGCTGGGCCTGGCGCTCGAGAAGGGCTGGCAGCTGCGCCTGTACTCGGCCATCGACGGCCTGCGGGAGGCGGTGGACGGCCCGGCCGCGGTCCTCGCCCTGTGGGTGCTGCTCGGCATTCTGTTTGATGTGTCGGTGGTTGCCAGCGTCGTTGAGGCGCTAGCAAAGGACGGGTGATGCGCCGGAGCGGCATCCTTGCTGCAATGTTGATGAACAGCATGTGCATTTCTCCTGCATCTGTGCCTACCTGTTGATTCTTATCGATTTTCATTGAATTGATGCAAAGACACGTTTGTGCTGCAAACACACTTGCCTCCCAGGCAGACCCAGGCAAAGGCGCATGCGGCGGCTGCCACGGCCCTCCCGACATTCAATTCAACAGCTTCCCAGGCACACCATCAACACAAGCTTGCCCCTCTGCTGCTGCGTCTCTCTTCATCTCCATCCTCCCTGTTGAGAGGGGGAGCGGCGCCCGCCACGTCACCACCCCCAGGCGGAATTGGTTGACATCATCCGTATACACTGGCTTCTTGATGGCATCCCCTGGTCTTTGCACGAGACTGCCGCAGCGCACTGCCCCTTGGTTTGCCGCACGGTTTGCCATCGCTACGACCCGACTTGAGCCGCAGCGCACACCCCCTACGACCCAGCCCCAGCGCCGCTCGTTGGCCGTTGCATCGAGCGCTAGCCAGCTCCCCACGGTAGCGATGGATGCGCAGGCCAAGACTCGCGCCAGGGCGGCAGTTCTGGGCGCCTTTGTGGCGGACGCCGCCACCACACCACTCCACTGGATCTGTGAGGCTGGCCGCGCTTAATTGCACAGCTGCCACTGCCTGTCACATGCTAGCCATGCAACGTAGCGCCGCTTGTCCACGCTTGCTTTCCCTTCTCCTGCAGACGACCTGGAGAAGGTAAAGGCTCTGCTTGAGAGCAAGAGTAAGCTAGCGCAGCCCGAGTTCTATCCAGAGCCGTCCTGCCCCTTCTACACCTACCCAGTGGGAGCGCTGTCGCCCTATGGTGCGTGCTGCCTCCCCTGCCCGTCTCATTGTTGGCCGCCGCGTGTCGTGTGAGGTCGAGTCACGAGCGAGCCCCGCAAGTGTGCTGCTGCTGCAGGGGACGAGGCATACGCGGTGCTGCAGTACGGCGCCGCCCACGCCGACTTCGACGGCCCCGGCCTGGCGCAGGTTGAGGCCGCGGCTGTGGCCCTTGCTGGTCGCACACCTCCTTTACTGCGTGCCCATGGCTCCCTGCCTGCCCCACGTCCCAGCTCCCGACTCTGCCCACTGGTCCCTCCCATATGATCCCTTACCCCACACGGCTCCTGCGTGCGCCGCCTCCCCCTGCTCCCGTCCCGGCCGCAGCACCTGGTTTCTTTCTTCAAGTCCTACACCGGCCGCCTCAACGGCACCGCCAAGCACCTGGTGGAGAAGTGGGAGGCTGGCGAGCGCTTCCCCGCTGCGGCCGCCGACGACAGCCAGGCGCACGCCATTGTCAAGGTGAGCCGACATGCTCGTCTGTGCTGTGCTCTTTTGCTTTTTGTAGTCTGCAACTCTGCAAAAACATTGCAGCACAGCGAGCGCACATTCACGCCACCATCCGTGACCGGGTGGTTGGGAGAGGCCCCGACTGAGCCGCCAATGCTGCCTGTGCTGCGGTGCGGGTGCCGCTCATCGTGGCAAGGTACGGCGGTACGCCCCAGCTGGCAGCCCGTGTGGAGGAAGTGGTACGGTCTCAGCAGAACAACGACACGGCTGTGGCTGTGGGCCAGGCAGCCGCCGCCATCCTGGAGCGAGTGGTGGTGCAGGTGGGTCACTGTGGCCTGGCACTGCCTGCTGCTGTAATGGCAGAGGGAGGTGTTGCGGCAGCCAGGTGACGCTCGGCTGCGACCGGCTCTGTCCTAGCCGCACGTGCCCACCGCTGCGGCCGCGTGCCTGCGCAGGGCTGCGGCGTGAAGGAGGCGGTCAGCTGGGCGCTGCAGCCTGGCAGCGTGCCGGATGGTGTGCAGCAGCAGCTGTCGGCTCACCTCACCGACACACAGCCCAGCCTGAATGAGATGGTGTGGGAGGTGACCAAGGTGCCGCACTGCGGGCTGCCGGGCGCCTTCGTCAACGCCCTCTACTGCGCCGCCACCTCAGACGGGTGGGTGCCTGCTCTGCCTGCTGCCTGCCTGCCTGCCTGCAATGCCTTTCGCTCCGGCGCGTGCTGTGCTCCGTCCTCTCACCTGTGGCCTGCCCACGACCTTCCACCCCACCGGCCCTTGTGCCATGATGTCCCTGGCCTGGGCGTCTTGCGCCCAGGAATCGCTCTGGCCACCGCCACCAAGCATCAGCATCCTTGCACATGTGCCTTCATGCTGCCATGCCGTGCAGGTATGTGGACGGCGTGCGGCGCAACCTGGCGGCAGCCGGCGACAACTGCTCCCGCACGCTGTATGGCAGCGCGCTGTGGGCGGCCGCGGTGAGCCACCTAGCCCTGCCCTGCCCTGCCCTGCCCTGTCTGCCCTGCCGCCTGCGCAGCACGCCCACGCCGCCTGTGTGCCTGGCGTGGGACTGGTTGGGACAGGCACCGGAAGCCAGCTGCAGCCCTGACCCGCCTGGGCGCTGGTGGTGGTGCAGGAAGGCGAGGGCGCCATTCCAGAGGCTTGGAAGGAGCAGGTGCCGCTCTATGCGGAGCTGGAGAGGCTGACGGATGAGCTCCTGAGCCACCGGGAGGCCTGAGGGAGTGCATTCCCAAACCCATGCTGCACTGCTGCACTTGTAATAATCAACAAAATCGCATGCTGGAGGTGTGGATGACTTCCGGGAGGCCAAGATCTGCCACCCTCCACGCTGCGTTGCCATGCTACCATGAAATGCAAGACCCTCACGTTCACACGCCTCTTGGCATCCACAAAAGTAGGAATGGCAGTACAAAGGGATACAGGTCCAGCACCAGGGGCAAAATGGCTGGAAGGCGAAGAGAGACAGCGGCTGCAGGCACATCAGGGCGGCTTGCCCTGTGCTGCCGGCTGCACGCCGAACGCTGGGCCCATGGCGACAGGCAGCGCGGGCCTGATGCCCGGCGCAGGCCGAGGGATTTGGAGCGGCGGCTCCCCAATCCTGAAGCGCTTGATGAAGGTGGCAATGGCATCAGCAGTGCGCTCCGGCTCGTCCTCGTGCACAGCATGCCCCGCCTGCGTCCCAGCAATGTGGGTGGGGCAGAGCGTTGCGACCATCAGCTGCCGTCTCCCAAGGAGGGAGGCAAGCGAGTGCAGCTTGTGGCTCCGGCAGCAGGTGCCACTCCTCCCCACATCGCTGTGCGCCCAGTCCAGTAGTGCAGCAGGCTCACCAAACCAATCCCAGGCCTGTCCAGCTGCACCGGCTCACCTGCGGCAGCAGCACCGGCTGGAACTTGCCCTGCATCTGCCCAATGGTCAGCGGCCGGTCCAGGCGGTCGGTCCCCACCAGAACCAGCACCTGCGGGGCGCATGCCGCCACACCAGCCAGGCCAAGCGTCAGCAAACGATTGGAGCGGCGGGCCATGCCCATCAAAGGAGGTAGCATGCGCCGCCCGAACCCTGGCACAGCACGAGTACGCAGCAGCAGCGCGCACCTTGGGAACGGGCAGCTTGAGGAACATGTCGCTCAGCCCAGCATACCAGCCCTCCCAGAAAGGCGCAGACCGCTCCAGCTGGGTGCGCCACACCCAGCCACCGCCTGCCGCCTCCTGCCCTTGCCCCTCTTGCCGCTGCTGCTGACCGGCAAGGCTCTGCTGGTTGGTGCCTTCCGTGCCTGCTGGTCGCTGTGCCCTGGGTGGTTGCTGCTGCGGCGGAGCACAGACCTCTGCCTCCCCCTCCTCCTCCTCTCCCTCCTCCTCTCCCTCCTTGGCCAAAGGCTCCAGCCCTGACGCCGTGAGCGGCGGCGCAGGCAGCGTGCCGCAGCTGCCGCCGCCGCCGCCGCGTCCTCCTGCTGCAGCGCCCGGCGGCTGCTGACGCAGCATTGAGGGCAGCGACACGTGCGCCGCCTCCTGCCGTTTGCACACGCCAGAGTCGAGCGCCCAGTCCACCGCATGCCGCAGCGAGGCAAACTGCTTGGGCCGCTTCTGCGGCAGCAGGGAGCACGGGCCGAGCGTGCAGCTCAAGCGCCAGCAGCGCTGGGGCAGGCGGTGCGAGGCGGGGTCGGAGCGCGGGCACCAAAAGGCACCAAGGTTCTGGGCAGGGACGCCAGCCTGGGCAGGGAAGCCGCCCAGGCGCCTCCCGGGGGGCGGGGGCCACCTGCCTGCCAGCCCACCTGAAGAACGGTTGACATGTAGGGCAGGGAGGCCATGGCCGTGCCCTCCACCACATCAATCACCACGATGCCTGCAAGGCTCGGGATGCCTGCAAGCATCCGGGAGAGGCAGAAAAAAGGTGGGAAAGGAACAAGCAAGAACAATAGAAACCTTGGGTGAGGGCTGCATGTCGAAGGCAGCTGCCCTCCTGCCCCGCAGTGCTGCTTCCCCGGTTGCTGGATGCCAGGCGCCCACGCGCACCTCCTAGCGCCGCGGCATGCACCGCTATGGCTCCGCCCATCGAATGCCCCACCAGCACCGTGGGCGGCGGCGAGCCCGCTCCCGCGCCTGCCGCTGCTGCCGCCCCGCCATGCCGTTGAGCGCGGTGCAGGCGGGGTCGCAGGCCGCAGCCTGCAGCAGCGCCAGCACCTCCTCTGGCGCCCACCCCGCGACCTTGCTGTGGTCGATGGAACCCACAACCACCGCTCCGGCTGCAGAGCATCCAGGGGATGGGGGAGAAGTGCAGGCGGTGCAGTGAG